CCCGAATGAGACCTCTTGTATAACGTTCCTTCAATTATGGAGCACCGGGCCGCCTTTCGACGGAGGCGCCAGGCTTCCTTTGGGTCATCCGGCACCGTTCCTTGGGTCAAGAATAGTATGATTGGTGCCATCCACCCGGAGTCGGCGCCTTCGTCCCCCAAGGTTGCGACCAAATATTGGCGAGGTACTTCCGCAGTGACTATGACTTTCCGATCTTCTGTAAATTCTACTGCGGTGGCCAATTTGGATAGGGCATCTGCATGCGCATTTTCCTCACGTGGGATGTGAATGAAGGAGATTTCCCCAAACCAGGCTCCCAGTTCTCTGATCCTTTGCACGTACACTTCCAGCGCTTCCTCCTTTACTTCGAATGCTCCGTTAAGTTGGTTGACAACGAGGGCCGAGTCGGACTTGACCTGGATTTTGTGGGCGCCCAGTTCTTTGGCCATGGTTATGCCGGCAATCACCGCCTCATACTCTGCAGCATTGTTTGTTTTCAAGGTGGCGAATCGCAGCGCTACCTCGTGCATCGCACCTCCCTGGCTTATCATCACAATTCCTGCTTCGGCGCCCGTACGCCTGGCCCTCCATCGACTTGGACTTGCCAGCAATCATCTGCCCCCTTCTCTGCCTCAGCTATACCTTCCGCGACAAAGTCGGCCAGAACTTGGGCCTTGATGGCTAGTCGAGGCGCATACCTGACATAGAACTCGCTTAGCTGGACTGCCCACTTAACAAGGCGCCCGACCACGTCCATTGATCCCAACGTGGATTTCAGAGGGAGGTTGGTAAGGACTATGATGGTGTGGGCTTGGAAGTAAGGTCTCAACTTGGTTGCGGCCATCACAACCGCCAGCGCGGCCTTCTCAATGGGCGTGTATCGCTTTTCGTGGGGAACCATGGTGCGACTGACATAGTACACATGTTTGTATTCTCCAGAGTGGGCTTCTCTTGCGACGAGCACGGCACTTACCGACACTTCCGACACGGCAATGTAAAGGTATAGTGGTTCTCCCGCCTTAGGCGCCGTCATCACGGTCGGGGCGCTTAAGAGTCGCTTCAATTCTTCGAATGCCCCGTCGCACTCAGTGGTCCATTGGAAACGGGCCGCCTTCTTAAGCGTTCGAAAGAAGGGAGCGGCCTTGTCAGCGGACCGGGGGATGAAGCGCCCCAACGCCGCCAGCATGCCCGCCAGGCCTTGCACTTCTTTGGGCGTCTTCGGGGGGGGGGGGGGGGGGGGGGGGGGTTAGCTTAAGAATAGCATCCACCTGCTTCGGGTTGGCTTCTATACCTCTTTTGGTGATCATGAATCCCAGAAATTTTCCCGCTTCGGCGCCGAACACACATTTGAGGGGGTTTAGTCGGAGCCTATGCGCCATCATGGCCTGGAACGTCTCACGCAAGTCTTCAATGTGGTCTTCCCGTCTCCGATTCTTGACTATGAGGTCATCCACATAAGCTTCCACATTCCGGCCGATTTGCTGCCGGAAGACGTTGTTAACCATTCTTTGGTATGTGGCGCCCGCGTTCTTGAGTCCGAAGGCCATGACCCGATAGCAGAAGTTTCCAAAAGGTGTCATGAAAGCTGTTTTGGGCCGGTCTTCCTCTGCCATGGGGATTTGATGGTATCCTGAAAACATATCCACGAAGCTCAGCATCTCGTGGTATGCCGTGGAGTCTACCAGCAAGTCTATCCGGGGCATTGGGTAGGCGTCCGTTGGGCACGCCTTGTTGAGGCTTGTGTAATCCACGCACATCCTCCAGTCGCCCGACGGCTTGGGCACAAATACCACATTTGACAGCCAGGTAACATAAGAAGTTTCTTCCACCAAGTTAGCGCCCATAAGCTTGTCCACCTCGACTCTAAGTGCTGCCTCCTTTTCCGGCGATAAGTTCCTGCGCTTTTGTTGCACGGGGCGCCTCCCTTCCTCAACCGCTAACCTGTGTATTGCTGTTTCAGGTTTGACGCCCGGCATTTCCATTGCACTCCACGCGAAAAGCTCTGAGAACTCTTTTAGAAGCGCGATGAGTCGTTCCATCATCTCGGCAGGCGCCTCTGCCGAGATCCTAACGCACCTTTCTGGGCGCCCTTCCTCCAGTGCTATCAAAAGGTCCTCATCGGCCGCCTCGGCTCGAGGCACCTCGTCTTCCCCCACCTCCATCACATTGACTCTTGCCTCGACGTGTCTTCGCTTGCGCCCCGTCTCCGCTTGCGCCCCGTCTCCTTCGCGTAGCGCGGGGCGCCTCGTCCTCGGGCCACGCCCACCCCTTGAGGGGCGATGAACTTCAAGGTCTGATGACAAGTGGAGGCCACCCCATTAAACAAAGCCAGGAGCGGCCTTCCAAGAATCGCATTGTACGGTGAAGGGCAGTCTACTATCCCGAAGTCTATGGCGCGCGTCGCCCTTTGCTCCCCATCTCCCAACGTGACGGGCAGGCACACCCGCCCTATCACTCTGGCGGGCGCCCCGGAAAAGCCTACTAGCACCGACTCCGATGGTCTGATCATCTTTGGTGATAGTTGCATGCGCACCACCGTATCCTTGAACAACACATCCATGGAGCTTCCCGTATCGACTAGCATTCTCCTTACCCTGCATCCAGCTACTACCCCTTGTATCTCCAAGGCGTCCATGGACGGGAGCATACACGCCTCCTCCGGCGCCTTGTTGAAGCTAATGTCGATCGACTCCTACACATCCGCCGACGCTGCCCTCAGCCGGCGCTTCGCTTCTATCTTCTCCTTCAAATCCATTGTCCCTGAAATGGCTTCGATCGTCAGGCGCACGCGGTCAGGCGCCTTCTCTTGGTCCAAGTTATAGGGTGGTGGTGGCAGCTCCTCCCCTGTTTTCACCACTCCAGCCACACAGGCCCTATGTACTCTTTCCTCGGGTTTTTTGATGAAGTCATTGAGCATTCCTCTGTCCGCAAGACCCTGCAGCTCTGTCTTAAGTTGATAGCAATCAGCCGTGTAGTGCCCAATCTCACGGTGGAAATCGCAGTATCGGTCCAAGTTCCGCTCGTTGGGTTGCCCCCGCATTGTGCCTGGCCACCTGATGTGGTATCCCTTCTCCTTGACATGCTGAAGCACGTTCTTCAGGGTGTCGTTGTACTCGGCGAAGGGCCCAGCCCCTCTAGGCGCCTGGCGCCCCATATCGTTCCTCCTCGGCGGGGGCTGGCTTGCGGGCGCATAGCCCGAACCACTCGTTGGGTACTGCCTCCTCGGCACCTCGGCCTCCTCCACTCGTGTCTTCCTCCGATCTGCCCTCCTGGCTGCTAACGTCTCCTCCAGCATAATTATCTTTTGCACTCTATGATCCAGGTCCTCTATGGATACCACATCTCTCTTCGCAAGCGCCCTGCATAGCTCCTCACTGGAGGTGCACTCATTCAGACACACCCCCAGCACCGACGGCTGATCATCCTTCACTGCTAAGGCCACGGATAGCCACCTCTCTTAAAATTCCCTTAATGCCTCCCCCTCCTTCTGCTTGACCTTAAACAGGGCGCCTATGGTCAAGGAGCGCCTTTTTCTGCTGGCAAATTTCGCCAAGAACATCGCTGCGAACTGTTCGAAGCAGTCGATGCGCCCTTCACCGATCTGATGATACCAATCGAGAACTACGCCCGAAAAGGTGGACGGAAATACCTTGCACAGGGTGGCGTCTGTGCTGTTATAGAGTTGCATTTTGGTGAAATATCCGTTAAGGTGGTCCTCGGGGTCTCCAGTTCCGTCATAGGCTGGGAGTGGGGGAATGTTCGTTCCGGCTGGCTCCGACAATATGCAACGCGCCAGAGGCTGCCTCACAGGGAAGTGGCGTGAAAGGCGCCCCAATATTCCTCCATTCCACCCGCTAGCGTCCGGCGCCCCGTGATCACGTGGGCGCCATAGACCGGGACGCCTCAGGCACCCCGATTCACTCTCCGTCTCTTCCATCCTTTCTCTTTTTTTTTTGTCGGGCTGGGCGTCATCCCTTCACTCCTCCTTAAGGCGTCCACTTCACGCCGCAGCGCCTCGATCGCCTCGTCCTGATCCTCGATGATCCGGAACAATTCTTTTTTCGTGACTGAGGCGCCCTCGGATCCCCGAAGCACGCCCTCACTTCCTTCGCCTTCTTCCTCCTCGGGCGTCTGCCCTCTCATTTGCTCCGATTCTTCCTCTGTAATTTCTTCCCTCTCCTCATTCATCGGCGCCTCTTCACTCATGACTCAAGGCTATATTCCCCTATCTGGCGCGCCAATTGTTTGAGACTCGTTACCCTCGTACGGCCCTCCGATCTCTTCTCTTACAAGGCGCTAATCTGCACACACGAACAAGGAGGGGGCGCCTGGGCCCGTTAATCCTCCGATGCCCAAGTTAGTTTCCTGGAATAGAGAAGTGTCTCCAAATCCAAGTTTAGTGAGAGAGAGTCCAACCTGTGTAAATGCTACCAACTGCCCCTATTTATACTTACCAGAGTTCGAGGTTGATCCTCTCTACCTCCCTGCCTTCATTCAATGCTTTGTCCCTTTCTGGCCAGACATCCCAACCACCTTGTCAGACTCTTGGCACGTGACAGGCGCCCGCAGACGCTGGACCACATGACAGTCTGGCCTTCTTTGGCTTCTAGTGACTTGTCTTCATGTGACCCCCCTTTTACTTGGGCCTTGCCCCCCAATTGGGCCGTTTGGGAGCCCAAGTTGCCGCCCATTGGGCTTTGTTCATAATACCCCCAACAATGATACATATTTATTGTTTACATTAGGGTGAAAAATAATTTAAAAAAGAGAAAATACAAGCTAACCTCACTATTTCGGTTTTGTATGAAAAACCGAACCGAATTATAATTCGGTTTGAACCGACCGAACCGAATTATAATTCGGTTCGAATTCGATTTGAGGTTTGATAGAATTCGGGGACCCGGTATGCATAATTTCGGTTCGGTTTGAACCGAACCGACCGAATGCCCACCCCTACTCCCAAACTGAATTTCCTATAATGATAAATTGACAAATCTTTGTTTTTTTAAGAGGTTTCATTAAGAATACGAATAGGCAAAAAGCCCAACCGGAAAAGAACAAGCTACTAGCATCAGAATTGAAACAAGAACTCAAACAAAAGGCCAAATAAAACAAGCCCGGTACCCAATAGGGCCCAGGTCCATGACCCAAACATGTAAGAGTACTCCCCAACCCTAGCCGCCAGAGCCCCCTTTGGTCTCTTCCACCGCCACGACCGAGGTCCACCGCCGCCACACGATCACGACACGGCTCCTCCTCCCACCAGCAGCCGTAACCGTGAAAGAAAAACCGGAGGAGAATCCCGTCGAACCCGGAAGGCAGGATAAATTGACAAATTGATTGATGGTCAATATGGCTTTGTTATAGCTATCCAGGCAGGTGGCATTGACGGTCCTCACATATTGGTGTTCTTATATTTAGGGAGGATCTCAATCGAATGTTGAAATAAGTTGTTAATTGTCATAAAATTGTGATGAACCGGAATAAATTGAAGGGGGGATCCGTAATAGTGCAACCAAAATCTGAAAGCAGCAAATTGCAAATCTCCATATTGTTGATTTTTAAGGAAGAAAGTGGAAGCAGATGAAGAAGAAGATTAGAAATGAATTATGGCATCAATAGACTTTTATTGTGAAAAAATAGTTTCACAAGAATCAAAATTAATTGATTCACTAAGCAACCAAAAAACAATTTATATTAAATCAATTAATTAAGCAATAAAAATTCACTAATTATTCTATCATTAAAATAAAGTAAAAAAAAAAAAAAAAAGAGCTTCATAAACATCTTTACAAACACACTTGCACTTTCGGACTTTCCTTTTCTTTCAATGTGATATTTTGTACACTTGGACATGCACTAACTCGAACACTATATATTTCTTTTTTTTACTGATTCATCCAAGAAATTTGGGATTTTGATATTTTAGATACATGTTGATATCCAGGGCTTGTTTTTCGACCACGTATACGTTGTTTTCTCCTCATTCTGAATTCTGATTGGGTAGCCCTACAAATAATATCAACTAACATCCTCTCCCAAACTTTAAGGACCACGTACAGTCCTCAACGCTAGATGCCACATTCGAGAGAGATATGAGTGAACAACTTTCGAATTACTGAATTTCCTTCATATATAATTGGATTCATTCCTATGGTTAGTTGACAAAGTTTCTTAATCACAGGCCATTCCTATGTAATGATTGCAGACTCGGATAAAATTAAGAAAAGTCCCATATTAGACAGGCGTACTGAAGCAATAATATGTCCAAACAAAAGAGATGTTAATTAAGAATCCGTCCATTTACGATAATTGAAAGTTCTTTGTGTTTCAGATGATTCCACAAACTCACAAGACATTGCGCGCATCACGCCATCACCTAACCATGTTAATTTACAAGTATCAAACATCTTACCTTTTCTCCAAAGACATCAATACCATAGCGAGAACCAATTCGCCACAACAATACTAGAATTATTATGAGAATCCAAAATTTAATCTCGTTTTCAAACAAATTACATAATTAATTAAAAAAAATTAAGGTCCACGACAGCGTAACTGGACAATCAATTGATTTAACATACATATATATTATAACAGCGTACTTGATACACAGACACACATGACACGACACAACAAGAAGGTACAAGGCAAACAGGCTTGCCCAATTATTCCAAACAAACAAATTACATAATTAATTAAAATAAATTAACGGCTTCCGAAACTAATTAGAGCTAAACAAGAACCCGTACGAACACAGAAGAAGCATGAAATAACTTTAAAAAAATAACCAAGCCGGTACAAATCAAGCTGACGGCAGCCCACGTAGGAGAAATCATCCTAATTAAGGTCCATACGTAATCAATGAATCATTAACAAACTCCATGCACGCACGTGGCCAAATTGAGTGCTAATCACAATTACGCTCCAAAACCCAAATCAGCACTGGAACCCTGGAGGAACCTCCTTCTCGCAGGCGGAGAGGAGCAGGCTGAGGGCGACGGGGACGGTGAGGTTGATCCCGAGGACGTTGGCCTTGATGACGGTGCAGAGGCACAATGCGGCCTCCAGGTCCACCAATCCTTCCAGCACGGCGCAGCACTTGCTCGCCGGAGGGGTTCCGATCACCAGGTGGACCAGCCCTCCCAAAAGGTCGGCGCAGGCCCCCAGCTTCAGCGCGTCCTTGGGGCACTTCGCCGGCGGCGGTGCCGGGGCCTTGGGCGGGGACTTGCCGCAGGCGCAGTCCGTGGTGACGGCGGCGGAGAATGCGGTGAAGAAGAGGAGGTTGGTCATGAGGAGGACCGCGGTCAACTTGTTGCTAATTACGGCGGCCATGGCGGCGGCTGTGGAGAGTGTGTTGAGTGGGTTTTTTTTTAGGGTGAGGTTGAATGGTGGGTGAGTGTGAGTGGCGCTGTGGGCGTGTTATAAAGTGGAATTGTGAGGTGGGAATTGAGTGGAAGTGAAGGGGGGATGATAATGTTGTACTGAATAGTGATTCACATGGCTAGGGTTTTGGACGTTTGTTGGACGAGAGGGAGAGATATTTGGTGTGTGGTAATTTGTTAGTTTGTTGGGTTTGGGCCACTCGTCAATCGGGTTTGCAAGTTGCGGTTTTGCAACGTTCACGAGTGTGTTTGGTGAATCTTCGCGCTATGGTATATACGTAGGGCAGCTGGCTGGCTTCAGCAAGGATCGTACATGGACAACTACCATTAATTTGGCCGGGCCAGATTGGGCATTGCATGTGTCGTTCATTGTGTTGGGAGCTAGCTAGCTAGCTAACTTGGTCCATCCTCATCTTAGTCAAAAAAGGTGACTCTTAGAAAGATATTCTAACTTAGAGCCTTGGAGGATGCTAGGGTTTATCGGAGGAAATGAAGAAGAAGGGAAGTGAGAACTTATAGTTTGGGATATATTGGCGGACTGCGCGCTTTCGTTGGTTCTTCATTATTGTACATGTTGATGTGATTTGAAGAATCGGACTATCGGGTTATTACTGGATGTTACGTGGGTCTCACTGTTTTGGGCCTGGTTGTAACCACTTTCCTTTACCACATTGGACTAGGATTAGATCACAAGTACTACAAATACTTCTCATACTCTGCTATAATCTATATCTCCTCGAAATACAATGAAATTGGCTCTCTCCTGCCAGTGGACTAGCTAACACACATCATGTCAATGAACCACGCAAATTCGTGTGTCGTGTTCTTTCTTATTTTTGTTTTAATTTCTTACTTTATCGTACCTCCTACTTTCCCGATCTAATTGTTGAATTAAGTGATTTTAGAACATAGGGCGGGATCAATGCAAATATTTAAAATATAGAAATCAAACCAAATTTAGTACCTTACAAGTCGAGCTCGGGGAACCAAAAAAAAAAAAAAATCAATTAAATTATCTTTCATAAACCCGATTCGACTTTGATTGGATAACCACTGCAATTAGTTATTCTCGCATCTGTATCACCACCCTACCTCCTGTATTTTACCCAGCAGCAAGAGTATCTGCCCTTCCCCGTGTTTTTGTGTTCTTTCTCTGACTGTCCCATTTTAGAGACGTTACATGAGCAAACATTTTCACACCAAAGTGGATATATATTATGAATCCTCGAACAAAAAGTAGTATTTTGTTAGTTAACATATATTCGATGTCCATTTTGTGAAAAGAAAAAAAGTGACAAGTCGTCTATGAGACTATGACAATGAGGACTTAATTTACACTTATTCATATTTCAGAAAAAATGAAAAATGCAAAAAAATCTTATGTGACCTGCTATAACGCAGCTGAATGGCCATTCCTTCCGCCAAATGTGTCGACACCGAAGAAGAAGCTGGAAAGAAAACAGAAACTAAGTAAAATAAGGAATAATTGTCTTTTAAATCCTTATATTATAGTTTCTGAAATCTGAACAAGTTCTCATACTATGTTGTTGTTAGAAGAAAAGGTCCCTATATTTATTATATTTTGATCACACGAAACCGTTATATGTGACATCAAACTTCACAATGAGTCGGCATACTTTATCAATCGAATATACAACTAGGCTTGTTTCTCCATTTTTACCTATGCCCTATTTGTCAAAGTTAACATGTAAAAATGGCAAATCATCGAAAAATGAAATTGTGATATATTAAAGATTTTTTTTACATTGTAACTCTTCAATTCGAAAAGATATGAGCACCACCACCAACTAATCGGTTCATCTCTATGCATCATTCGTCATATGTTTTTTCCTATTACTCCTCGCATTCTCTATAAGCTTGCGCTCTTATCCTGAAAACCAAGATTATCAATAAAATATTATGTTAATTTTTTTTGGGATAGTTCACAATTGAAATTCTATTGGTAAGATTGGGACTGGGAGTGAGACTCTCAAATGGATTAACCATTTTTTTCACTAGTAACTCATATTTTCGTTAGGAATTAACTTCATGACTGACAAACTTTCATCTACTACAAGAGTTCTAAAACAAATTGCAAAAGTTTGAGGAGAGGAAGTATGCCACAGAGAAAGGAAAGATCTTCAAAATTTGTCAAAGAGGGGGGGGGGGGGGGGGGATTAAGAAAATCACTGATTATTTTATCAAATAAAGGACTAGTTTTTAACTGTAACAAAGTACATGGACTTGGTCGCTATAAATCATCAGTGCGAGGGTTCATTTGTCAGAAGACATAGTATGTGGACTCAAAATGATAATAAATCATTTTAAATAAATCTACCGGCCTTTGTGAGGGGACGGCTTGGACAATGAGAGCTCTTTCTCGCACGGCATCACGTTGATTGCCGATTGGGCCCAATCTTTTAGTAGGTCGACAGAAGTTTAAGAGAGAGAGAGAGAGAGAGAGAGTAGAGTAGAGAAAGCCAGCTCTCTTGGAAAGCTTTGGATGATTCAATCAATCCCACTCCGATTCAGATTAGAAAACTAAAATAATCTTCCGACAAAGGCAGAGAATCGGGAGACGAAGCTTCTCTGGTTTCCGATCTCTGTAGAGATCCCCGGCGGCGGGTATGGCGATTCTCTACGCGCTCGTGGCGAGGGGATCGGTGGTCCTAGCGGAGTTCAGCGCGACGGCGACCAACGCCAGCGCCATAGCCAAACAGATTCTCGGCAAGATTCCTGGAAATGACGACAGCCACGTCTCGTATTCTCAAGATCGCTATATCTTCCACGTCAAGCGCACCGATGGCCTCACTGTTCTCTGTATGGCCGAAGAGAACGCCGGAAGTAAGCCTTTCCGCTCTGTTCTTCTTTCCTCTTTTTCCGTCTCCGGTTCCGGTCAATGGCGGCGTCGATCCAGTAGTGAAATTGTGTTTGAAGTAGGATTATGACTATGGTTTGCTTGTACGTTTTGTCAATTGGTCGGTTTGGCAGGAAGAATTCCATTCGCGTTTCTCGAAGACATTCATCAGAGATTTGTGAGAACTTACGGCCGTAGTGTTCACTCAGCTCAAGCTTATGGTATGAATGACGAATTCTCGAGGGTTTTGAGCCAGGAAATGGAGTACTACTCCAGTGATCCCAATGCAGATAGGATGAACAGACTGAAAGGTGAAATGAATCAGGTACAAAGGCTTTTTAGTGCTCTTTCATCTTTGTTACAATGAGTTTTCACTTTCAGTTGATGCTCCATGGATGCTTTTTAGGTAGGTTTCGAATTTCGAACTCTTTACAGTTGATGCTTCATCTATGCCTGCTTAGTTCGATTGTTCGGATTGACATCTTCAGATTTCCCGTCAGTTTTCATCTCTGCTAGAGAAGTAGGCTGATCGTTGAGTTGATTTATGCAATGGTTGATTAGGATATGTGGAGGGTAGTATAGTATGTGGAAACTTTCTGCTTTACCATTGTGGAAAATGAAATTACTGACAGACTGTTTGGTTGAGAATGGCGACTTGAGCTTACTGACAGATTGCTTGAAACATGAACTTCCTCTTCATAAAATGCGTGTATAATCTTCTTAGACATTGTGCAACAGGTGCGAAATGTGATGATTGAGAACATCGATAAGGTGCTGGAGAGAGGCGATCGCTTGGAGTTGCTGGTAGACAAAACATCCAATATGCAAGGAAACACCTTCCGTTTCAGAAAGCAAGCTCGCCGGTTCAGAAGCACAACATGGTGGAGAAATGTGAAGCTGATGTATGTTAATCTGATCTAAAATGAAATGAACACCATTTTAAGTTCACCGATTTGGATGTCGATTTGGCTTAGAAGTTTTCGTAGTTCGTTCATCCTGCTGATCTGTTTCTTTTTTTGTTGCTGCAGGATTGCTCTGATAATCCTTCTCCTAGTGGTTATATATGGTGTACTGGCTTTCGTCTGCCATGGACTTACATTACCTACTTGCTTGTAAAGAGGGCAACCGTTGATTGCGACATTTTGATTGGCTTTTTGTGTGCTTACAGTGAAGTCATTTTTTCTCATCTCAGTTGGTTATATTTCAGAACTCTTTGGCATACTTAAGTTTGTTGTTAGAATTCGGGTTCGCAGCAATGTGAAGCACTCAATTGCTTGCTCGCATGGTCTCTCTTGCTTGCACTGGTTCTGGTTTTGTATGCTTCGTTTACCTTGTAATCATCAAAGAGTGAACTTAAGTGTTTTTAGCGATGTAAAAATCTGTGCTGCATTTGGGGTTCGTGGTACTTTCTTTCCAGTCAAAAGTGGTTTTGGTTTGTAGAAATTGTCATTGAGCCTCTTTAGGCCTTTACTCTGCTAATAGCTACTCTTTGCAATTGGAGATTGAATCAGCAAGATTAATTGTTTCTCTAGACTCCATTATCAAAAATTGTCTCTCTAGACTCAACTGGTGCTATGTGCCAAATATGGTTTAATTCAGGATTTGAAACGAAAGAACTTGAGAGGTAGAATTCAAGCACCATTATCATAGCAGGCTGCGTATTATCTATGAATTTCATAGCAGGCCTGCACTACGACAGCCGACTTTGGTTCTGTACCTTCCCTTGGACCTAAATTCTTCCATCGGAACCAAACTAGAAATGATCAATTGCCTTTCGCGGCATAAGAAGTAGGAACTTCGAAATCCATTTCATGAATTCTACACTGAACACATACCGATGTGATGTGAAGAATAGGATCAAATGAACTCGAGAAGAAGCATGAAACAGTAAAGATGTGACTTATATCTCGTAACTGGATCGAAGTTCTCGTTACCGAATCAAGGAATTACCTTGAGTTGAAACACCTCAACTACTCGAACGGACGAAAACGAATGTTGAGAGAAACCTGCGACCCTAGTGATTCGGTGAAGCGGACTCGGAAAGGCGGGGACCGGCGGTCGGAATGAAGGGACTGAGTCGCGCGGCCACCGAGCTGGCTGAAGAGAAATGTGCGTTGACAAGTGGGGACTGTTAACATGTTATCCACGGGCCCGGGTTCGTTTGTAATGGGCCCAATAAAGTCGAAAATCTGAGCAAGCGCCCTGGAATGAGATGAGGTCCATAAAATACTCAGACATAGCGGGCCCAATTCGTCATCTGAATAATTAACTCTCACGGCAAGTGTTTAATAACCAATAACTAATTCACAAAAAAAATCACTAAAGAGTATACCGGAATAATAAATAATTGAACCTTCAAAAAATGTCAGTTGCTCTTCGAAGTATCAACAATTTTTTTTCTATTCATTCATGAAAAAAATGTATTCATTTTTATCTTCTAATATATTTGCAAAACATATCATAATCGGACTCGAAAAACTGCCTACAAATTTTACAATCTCTACTTTTTCCTCGTACATCAATCAATAGCAATAACTAGAAACACGTGCGAGGTATCTGTTGGCCCTAATCCTCGTGGGCCCAAGGTTCACGCATATGGCAGTCCAACTGAGTGATTTCTATTTCAAGAAGCCCAGTCAATCTATCAACCCATAACGTCCTCTCGTATCAAATTCATACACCGAACGACGTCGTACAGTGACAGTGAGACCACCGCCCCGGTCGCGTAGGGCGGAAAAACAAAAGTAAAAAAACACTAGAAAATCAGAGTAGTGTAGGCTAAGGCTACCATGCGCCGCTCGTTGTCCAAACTCCAAACCAAAACGCAAAAATCCCTCTTCTCTCGTCCTCTAATCACCCTGCGAAACGTTTCTTCTCCATAACACATAATACAATTAACAAAAAACAAATAAAACATACCAGATACAGAGAGCTGCTGCCTTCAAGGGAGAAAGAGGGGAAGAGAAACAGAAAAGAGAAGCTCAACCCAAAAAAAGAAAAAAGGAAAGAGAGAGGCGCGTCGGAGCAATGAAGCACACTTCCTCCGAGGCAGTACCGTCATCCTCATCTCCGCCGCCATCGTCGTCGTTATCTTCTGCCTCATCGTCCTCTTCGTCCGTGATATTATCTTCCACCGAGCAGTTACCCCGGACGGCGGCGGCGGCCACCACCGCCGCCTCCTCCTCAATCCCCGTCGAGGACCTCGCCGTCGGCTCCACCAGGGACGGCAGCGGCGGGGCGCAGGAGACGGTCACCGTCGATCGCCGCGGTGAGTACTCCGCCATCTGCAGATGGACGGTCCACAATTTCCCCCGGGTTAAAGCTAGGGCACTGTGGAGCAAGTACTTCGAGGTCGGCGGCTACGATTGCCGCCTGTTGATATACCCTAAGGGCGACTCGCAGGCCTTGCCGGGCTACATCTCAATCTACCTCCAAATCATGGACCCTAGGGGCACCTCTTCCTCCAAATGGGACTGCTTCGCCAGCTACCGGCTGTCAATCGTCAATCTCGCCGACGATTCCAAGACCATCAATCGTGATTCGTGGCACCGGTTCTCCACCAAGAAGAAGTCCCACGGCTGGTGCGATTTCACCCCTTCCTCCACCGTTTTCGATTCCAAATTAGGTTTCTTATTCAATAGCGATTCCATTCTCGTCACAGCCGATATACTAATCCTTAATGAGTCCATTAATTTTGTCCGCGATAACAATGACAACAACGTCCAGTCCCCTTCTTCTTCGTCGTCCATCATTTCGTCCTCCGTCGTCGCCACCCCTGTATCTGATGTCTTGACTGGTAAATTCACTTGGAAAGTCCATAATTTCAGTCTATTTAAGGACATGATCAAGACGCAGAAGATAATGAGCCCTGTATTCCCTGCTGGGGAGTGTAACCTCAGGATTAGTGTCTACCAGAGCACCGTCAATGGCCATGATTATCTCTCTATGTGTTTGGAGAGTAAGGACACTGAGAAAACAGTGGTCTCTGATAGGAGCTGTTGGTGTTTGTTTAGGATGTCTGTGTTGAATCAAAAGCCTGGCTCGAATCACATGCACAGGGACTCCTATGGCCGGTTTGCTGCCGATAATAAGAGTGGGGACAATACCAGCTTGGGATGGAATGACTATATGAAAATGGCCGACTTTGTTGGCCTCGATTCCGGGTTCTTGTTGGATGACACTGCCGTTTTCAGTACTTCATTCCATGTGATTAAGGAGTTCAGTAGCTTCTCCAAGAATGGGGGTTCTATTGGTGGCAGGATTGGTAATGGTGCGAGGAAGTCTGATGGGCATCTGGGTAAATTTACTTGGAGGATTGAGAATTTTACAAGGTTGAAGGACCTTTTGAAGAAAAGAAAGATTACAGGCCTCTGCATCAAGAGTCGGAGGTTTCAGATTGGCAACCGTGATTGTCGTCTCATTGTTTACCCCAGAGGTATGGAGTGTCCGTAATGCATAGATATAAAATCCTAAATGATCATGCCTCTTGTACGTTGATTTAAATCTATCCCCCCTGGTGTTTGTGCTTCACTGGTTCTTTTCTGCTCTATGCTGCTAATGATGGTTTGTAATGGTTTGTGTTTATGAATGCTTGACTTCAGGATCGTTGTCCTTGACATTGATTAGGATGATGCTAAAAACATAGGAGGATATGGAGGCAGCCTTTGGGTGCATGTATGCTTGCATTGCCTTGATGTTCTTACGTTGTGCTATGAGACTAAACTAACAAGAGTCTATTGTCTGCTTTGTTGCATCAGGGCAGTCTCAACCTCCATGTCACCTTTCGGTGTTTCTTGAGGTTACAGATTCAAGAAATACTTCCAGTGAATGGAGTTGTTTTGTTAGCCATCGTTTATCAGTTGTGAACCAAAAGATGGAGGAGAAATCAGTCACCAAGGAATCTCAGAATCGATACTCCAAATCTGCAAAGGATTGGGGTTGGCGTGAATTTGTGACACTTACAAGTCTATTTGACCAGGACTCTGGATTCCTTGTTCAAGATACTGTAGTATTCTCTGCTGAAGTTCTCATTTTGAAAGAGACTTCGATAATGCAAGATTTCACAGACCAGGATATCGAGTCTCCAAGTGCTGCTTATCAAGTTGACAAGGTTGAGAAAAAAAGTTCATTCACGTGGAAGGTGGAGAACTTCTTGTCCTTCAAAGAGATAATGGAGACCCGGAAAATTTTTAGCAAGTTTTTCCAAGCTGGTGGATGTGAGCTTCGTATTGGTGGGTAACTCTATCGTGCCCTCTCTAAAATTGTTTGTTGTGGTGTTCCCCTTTCATTATTCTTCTGACTGTGGTTATTTACCTTTGATCAGGTGTGTATGAGTCCTTTGACACCATATGCATATACTTGGAGAGTGATCAATCAGTCGCTAGTGATCCAGATAAGAACTTCTGGGTTAGATACAGGATGGCTGTGGTGAACCAAAAAAATCCATCAAAAACTGTATGGAAGGAATCTTCTATTTGTACGAAGACGTGGAATAACTCTGTTTTACAATTTATGAAGGTATCAGACATGCTGGAAGCGGATGCTGGTTTCCTTGTACGCGACACTGTTGTTTTTGTCTGTGAGATTTTGGACTGCTGTCCTTGGTTTGAGTTTTCTGATCTCGAGGTTAGTATCTATTATTTTTTTCTTTTCGCAACTATCAGTTGGTGCTTCTTGCGTGGAGAGGAAATGAATCTATATGTAAAACATCACTGATAATGTGGTTATGTTTAGGGCGTTGGAGTTGGTTGATATTCATGTTGGTCTATTTTTTGTTGTCTAAACACAGTATTTACTCCTTTGTTGAATTGTGTAAAGATCTGACTGTTGATGTCACATTCTACTGATGAGATGACCCTATCAGAGGTTTAGAGTGGGCTCTACTCTACCCTTAGCATTGGCTCTGTCTATGGTTTGCTTGTAGCCCATCAGAGCTGGCTGAACTGTTGACAAGTTTCGAGTAGTGATATTGTTCCTGCTGAATCATATTGCTGCCAAATTGGGTTGTAGGGAATGCTTCCTCTAGATTTTTGAATTTTGACCCTGTGCCCATCCATAGAGATCCTCACTTTTATAGCTGGATTATAATTGTTCTTGTTTTTAAGGTCTGAAATTGTGTTATAAACTTTAGTATGTCCTCTGTCTTTGTTAGGTTTTGGTCTCTGAGGATGATCAAGATGCTTTAACTACTGATCCGGATGAACTCATTGATTCTGAAGATAGTGAGGGCATAAGTGGGGATGAAGAAGACATCTTTCGAAGTCTTCTCTCAAGGGCTGGTTTTCACCTCTCGTATGGAGACAACCAATCACAACCGCAAGTTACTTTAAGGGAAAAGCTCTTAATGGATGCCGGTGCAATTGCTGGTTTTCTCACTGGATTACGTGTATATCTTGATGACCCTGCTAAAGTGAAGCGATTACTTCTTCCTACCAAGATTTCTGGTGGCAATGATGGAAAGAAGGCCACAAAGGCCGATGAATCTTCTCCTAGCTTGATGAATTTATTAATGGGAGTTAAAGTTCTGCAACAAGCAATAATAGACTTACTCTTAGATATTATGGTAGAATGCTGTCAACCCTCAGAGGGAAGTGTCAGTGATGATGGACCTGAGGTAAACTCTAAGCCTTCTCTTGATGACAGTGGTGCAGCTATCCTGCTGGAATGTGATAGGGAAGGTGGGGCTGTAGAATCTGCCCAGTTTCCTGTACACGAGAGATTAGATTCTGGAGTTGATGACACTATCAGTACATCTGCTGTTCAAAGCTCTGACACTAGTAGTGGTGTTGCTGCTGTAAGCAAGGCTATTCCAGGACAGCCTATTTCTCCGCCAGTAAAAACAGCAGGAAGTGCTATAGAAAGTGCTTCTTTACGGTCTAAGGTATGGGTTTCTTGGTACTGAATAGTAGCAATTGGTTTATGTTGTCGGTTCATCTGGATTCTGTACTGATTTCTTTCAACTGGAAAATACAGGCCAAGTGGCCAGAGCAATCTGAGGAGCTATTGGGTTTAATCGTAAATTCCCTAAGAGCCCTAGATGGTGCTGTCCCTCAAGGCTGTCCTGAGCCACGAAGGAGGCCTCAGTCAGCACAGAAGATTGCTCTAGTTTTGGATAAAGCTCCAAAACACCTACAGCCAGATCTAGTGGCTTTAGTACCAAAGTTGGTTGAGCATTCAGAACACCCATTGGCTGCCTCTGTGCTCATTGAAAGACTTCGAAAGCCTGACGCGGAACCTGCACTCCGTGTGCCTGTAAGATTTACGTTTACTTTTACTATCTTGTCCTGTTATAGGTATTCTTAGTGTCATTTATTACATGGATGGCAGACAAAGGTGCTAGTCATTTCAAGTATTGCGTTCAATTTGCCGGTCATCATGACTTGAGATTCTGTTAGTTTTACTGCTCTGCTTGTTGACTTGTGTGCAATTCACTATTTTTCTGTTCTAGGTTTTTGGTGCTCTTACTGAACTGGAATGTGGCAGTGATGTATGGGAACGGGTACTATCACAGTCGTTTGAACTGTTAGCTGATGCAAATGACGAATCTCTTGCTGCAACTATAGATTTTATATTCAAAGCTGCATCTGAGTGCCAACATCTCCCTGAAGCAGTATGCATTCTTTTCTATAATTTCTCACATATGCCATGGAGTTCAATTTGCCAAGGTGTGACTTGTGTTGCTATCTTTTTGCAGGTAAGATCTGTTCGTATGAGGCTCAAGGGTTTGGGCCCTGAGGTTGCCCTTTGTGTCCTTGAAC